GAGTTTGTGGTACAGACTGATGCCTCTGATGTGGGACTAGGTGCGGTACTGTCCCAAATCAGAGATGGGGAGGAGCACCCTGTGGTCTTCCTAAGTAGAAAGCTCAACAAACATGAGAGAAACTATGCCATTGTGGAGAAGGAAGGTTTGGCCATCAAATGGGCCTTGGAGGCCCTGAAATATTACCTGTTAGGAAGACAGTTCAAGTTGGTTACTGATCATGCCCCGCTCAAATGGATGTGCGATAACCAGGAGAAAAATAGCCGAGTGACAAAGTGGTTTCTTGCGCTACAAGCGTTCAGATTTACGGTGGAACACAGAGCGGGGAAACTGCAAAGCAATGTAGATGCCCTCTCCCGGGTCCATTGCCTGGTTGGGACAGTTGCTCAACCGCAGGGGCTTGAGCAGAGGGGGGGGATATGTGACAGTATGAACGGCAAAGTGATGGATGGACGATATGTGTCACCTCGCATGAGGTCATACTGTGAGGTGTAAGGCGGAGTCCACTCCGGGTTTTCGGGGGCCACAAGGGCAGAGGTGGTTCCGGACCGGAGTTTGTGCTCCACTGATGACCACCAACAGGTGATATAAAAAGGGCAGGGCTGGAGCAAGGAGTTGCTCGTGGCCTGTGTTAGGAATTCCCCCTTTCCTGGAATCCTTATATTCTTATTTCTTATATGCCGCGCGGCGTCTGGGCGTGGCACGGGCTCGATCGATCGGGCAATCAAAGTAACTAAGCACACAGGTAGGATACAGGAAGATTGCAAAGTTTATTACGTACATTACAGTTTATAGAGGCAAAAACCACAAACCCAAATTATCCAATAGTAAGACAGAACCCCAAAAGTATCCAATAGTAACATAAGACCTAACTTATCCAATAGCAATGCGTACCTGTTATTTTTCTGCCTTGATACCAGATAATGTTCACCTTAACTTACACTGTTAAACTGTTAACCTCAGTCAGTACATCCTGCCGTTTTGGCTGTGTTCCCAGACTTCTTATCTGAACATTTATCTATGTGCTACGATGTCTTTGCAGACACCTGCAGTCTAGGCGTTCTTTCCTGTTACTCTGCGGTTGTATGTGTGATATACAGACACATCTTAAAATGTTCCATAAGCTCGAATATAATGCTGATATTTCTTACAACGTTTACCTAAGACATAATAATTTCATCAACTTAAAACATCACTCCAACTCTTATCACAATGCAAGCATAATGAATACAAAATGGTATACCTGAAGCATTAGCCCTAGCTCTTATTTCCCCACAATCCCCTCTTTGGGCATATTGAACCTTTGTTCAACATGATCACTCAGAATACCACACCTCCTCTCTGGATTGTCCAAACAAAGCAAGTCTGGAGCCGCCTGTCGGAGAGGTGGAGTCTGGGCTCTTGTGCTTAACTGCCAGTTTCATAGTCTTACCCACCCCCCATATAGCAAATTTTATCACACAGTATATAGAGATAAGAAACACTATAATCATAAGGATTACAATTCCTGCTTTCTTAAAGAAATTAAAAGTACCGGAGAAGAAATTCCCAAACCACCCACCAATCGAGTCAAAAGGATTCCAGGAATGTGGCAAATTATGAAGTTCCCCTGTTAGTCTGTCTCTTTCTTCATTATGGCCGTTAATGATATCATAATAATCTGGGACTTCTATATCGGTAGTTTCCTTAGTAAAATTGTTGAAATAGATACAGCAGATTTGTTTATTGCTAGTTTGATCACAAATACCAGTTACTGCCATCATAAGTCTCTCCTGACGTTGTCTTATGACCTCCTGTTCCATCCTAAGTTTTCTCATCTCCTCATTAACAAGTCTGATATCCCCGCTGGTAACATTAATCCATTTTTCTATGATGTCAGCAAAAACATTTAAACGTACCATTAACATGGTGTTGCCTAACGGCCCCAAAATACTCATATAGAACTTTTCCCGGGAACTAAATAAAGCCCTCTTGGGTCTATTAAACTGTAGGGTGCCTTGGGCTGGTCCCATGGAGACTTTGCTGCCTTCAATACTACTCATATATGGAAATAATCTGACAAAAGTACACCATCCCCTGGATGCTGTGTCGTCTGGGAATGGGATAGTGGTGTGGCACCAGAGGCCGCAACAGACCATCCACCCTTTTGGCATGTGAGGTGCGGGTAGTCCTGCTGTGTCTTCCTGCCCAGAACGAAAACCTGTTAGACATATCCATTGGGCTATATGAACTGGGGATGTAATATTATCATTCCATGGTGTCTTGCTAGTTTCCCTAAGCCATTGGTGGACCAGTGTTTCATTGTTCATCTGTTTGAATGTGGGACACCTTGAGATATTATACATTGACATGTTATCTGCCCTCTCATCTGCATCCGCCATATCGGCAGTATTCAACCCTTTTATATCTATGGTGCGATTTGCTTTGTACTTATCTATATCCAGCAAAGTAAAGTTGACATTGGTTTCTGAACAGAATCCGGCATTTGGAAAGTCTTTCGTATTTGTGCTGTGGGAATAACCATTCAGAAAACAAAATTTAGGCAGCTCCGAATATCCCTGAATTAGGAATGGCTTATTTTGTGTATATATTCTACCGGTATATAAAATATCCTCCTGGAGTAGTTGAGGAATGGATATTGGTTCGGCTGTCATTGGAAATATATTTTCACCAGAATGCATGTGTGAACACACCCAACAATCCCCTTTACCCTCACTCTGCTGTTTACCAAATTCATGCATAAGCAAGAAATGATGCGGTATGTTATCTCTGTCTGCCATATTTTGGGGATCTACATTGCCATGTGGTCTAACCAAGGGTTTATGTGGGACGTCTATTGGACTGTATTTATGGGTCTTGGTAGGTAGGGCTAATATCTTCTGTTTGGTGGCTTGGTCAATGTTGGGATCCAGACATAGGACTGTGGTACTGACCCTAGTGGTCTGAGCCGTTACTATAAGGGCATGTACACAGTGTCCATGTGGTCGTTGTTCAAAGTAGGCCACCATGTGTTTCTCTAGGCCCATAGGCAACTTTTTCAGAGTAACTTTGCAACATCCTTGGGCTATTACTTTGGGATCCCTACGGACTGGGACTCAGAGAGCTATTCTGAGAGAGCTGTGTGTGCACTATACCTACAAGAAAAGGTTTGCATTTGTTTTGTTTTTGGGTGACAGGGAGAAGCCCTTCACCTCTGAGAGAGGAAAGTTTCATGTTTAGTTAGTGCCTGGATGGCAAGGGTTTATTTTACTGTTTTGTTTGTTTTGACATTTTTGCAAACCTGTAAATAAAAATAAAATCAGATTTTAAGAAAGCCTGCTGTGCAGTCTACCTTTTTCCCAGGGAAGGTGATCCCCCACCTGAGCTAACCCCACATATATGTGTATATGTATATATATATATATATATATATATATATATATATAATATGCGTTTTTTATATATTACAAAATATATGAAGAATATTTTTTTAAAATATAGTTTTTAAATATATTCTTCAGATTTTTTTTAACATTTCTGCCAGCTGGAGTTGTGAACAAGGCTGGATCTAGCCTGTCCGATGTGGGGGTGCAGTAAAAAATGTCAGAGGGGCAGAGGATCAGAGGTCAGGGGGGGCAGAGGACAGGGGTATCCTCTGGTAGGGCAGAGGACAGGGGTCACTGCTGGCAGGGCAGAGGACAGGGGCACAGTTCCTTATCCCATCCCTACACTGCACACAGCCTGGGCACAGGCAGCAGAGCTCCTCCTCCTGGGCACAGACAGCAGAGCTCCTCCTTCCCACACAACCCATCACTGAGATAGATATGGTGTCAGTCAAGGGAATTATAGTGTCAAACTAGGGCTGGAAAGTATCAGATTTGTACATCATAGTGTCAGTTTAGGGTTTGCTTTGGGGGGGCACAACTAAAATCTTGTGGGGGCATAGCCCACTCCAGCACCCCCCTAGATCCAGCCATGGTTGTGAAATGGACAGGGAGTAATGTAAACTGGGGAAGGGGGTGGGAAGTGGCTGGTGAATGATATCTGCTACCTGGGTGTTTGGAAATATGTAGTCAGCGATGGATGTAGGTGGAGGTTGGGAAGTTGCCAAGGAGCGATGTGTGTCTACTAGAGCCATAGAGATGGAGGGTGAGAACTGGACATTTAATGATGTTTCCCAAATGGGGGAGAGGATAGAAAACAGCCAGGAAACAATGGCTGCCAAATGGGATGGTTGAGGTAAGTGGCCAGGAGTGATATCATAAATGGGAGGAAGTGTTGTTGAGTGTGAATCCATATAGAAGTGTGTCGGCTCTTTGTGGGAACAGGGAAATGTCTGGGAAAAGACTTCTGTCTGGTGGGGGGAGAGGGTACAAACAACCCAAGCTCCAGAACTGCAGTGGCCAATGGTGGGAGCATCTTCAGAAACAATACCCAGATCTGACTTCAAAGTCTGGGATCAGCATGATCCATGGTGCTAGCTGTGTGTCAGGATCTGTTCTCCTTGGGAAGGATGTGTGTAGAGGGGAGGAGTTATGTTGCTAGGCTAGATATTGAGAAGGGCTGGAAAAATGACTGGATCTGCAGAGTGGTGGAGGTGGTGGTAGTGGTGGTGGTGGTAGTGGTGGTAGTGGTTGTGGTAGTAGTAGAGGTAGTGGTGGTGGTGGTGGTAGTGGTAGTAGTGTTGGTTGTGGTGGTAGTAATGGTGGTAGTGGTGGTGGTAGTGGTGGTGGTAGTAGTAGTGGTGGTGGTAGTGGTGGACTGCTCTTAGTTTGAAGGTATTGTACTGCACTAGTGTCCTATTGGCATTTTTTCATGGGGGAGCCTGAAATAGTGGCACAGCACTACATGTTTCTCTTTTTCTATTCCCCCCAATGCAAAATTATTATTATTTTCTTTTAAATGAATGACATTATTAGCTCTCGTGAACTCAACCGACCTATCTGTAAATTTGTTGATCGTGGAATGAACTTGTGGTCTGTAGAATGAGGGATGAACATACACCAGTCCTTCAGATTCAGTCACTTTACACGAGGGCTTTGATATTGGTATAAAGCCTTCCAGACCTGCTCCCGAATCAGTTTTGTCTTCACTCCATAAATAATTGGATTCAGCATGGGTGGAACTAGAAGGTACGTATCAGCTAGACCTATATGAACATAAGGTGGAATCCTTTCACTGCCGTACCGGTGAGACAGGAAAGTGAAGAGAGCCAGACCATGAAAACTTAGAAAGACGCCCATATGGGGTATGCAGGTGTTGATGGTTTTCAGTCGGGCATCTTTGGATGGAAGGCTGAAGACAGCATGGAAGATGGCGCAGTAGGATACCAGGATGAACAGCAAGTCTACTCCCAGGATTGTGAATGCAACCGTTAACCCCAAAGCGCTGTTTATTCTGATGTCGGCAGCAGCAAGTTTCACAATCACCATATGTTCACAGTAAGAATGGGCCACGATGTTGGCCTTAAATGCAGGAAATTTCTTGATCAAAATGACACAAGGACCAACCAAAGCAACTGCTCTGAGCAGTAAGATGATGACCAGCTTAAAAAGTATGGCATTGCTCATTACGGACCCATATCTGAGTGGTTGGCAGATGGCAACATAACGGTCAAATGCCATACCAAGCAAAAGGCCCGACTCTAAGCTGGTGAAAGAATGGATGAAGAACATCTGGAGAAGACATGAGTCAAAACTAATGAGTCTTTCCTGGAACCAGAAGACAGACAGTAGTTTCAGGGCTATGCATGTGGACAGAAGGGCATCATTGGAGGCCAATAAACAAAGGAAAGTAAACATAGGCTTGTGAAGACCAGAAGAGGCTGAGATGACAATGAGGAGCATCATATTTCCCAGCAATGCCAGAACATAACATATGCAAACAATGGCAGCTACCCAGTTATAAACTCCTTCTAGTCCAGGGATCCCAACCAGGATGAATGAGGTGGGATAGAATGTGGCATTGACTTTGATGTCCGGCATTCTTCTGCTGATCAACTTCCAAACTGAAGACCACAGCTCTCTATCTTGGATGGTTTGGTCACCTAATGGTACAGAAGACTTAAAATTACAACTGAAGTATGAATACAACTGATAAATACAGTAGGTATTGATATGAGTACGTGAACATTTACTCTGGTCTGACTAGTAACAAGTTATTTTTATATCAGGTACAATAGATACCCTGTGCTTCCTTTCTCCGAGGTCTCCTGCTGTAGGAACCATGGAACATACTCTGAGTGTCCATGTATGGGGGAACCTGTGCTGTGACCCTCCTCTGTCCTTCACAGAGGACAAGGTGGGAAAAAGGCAAGGACCCTACCAGGTCCAAATTACAGGGAATGTGAAGACTCAATGGAGGATTATTATCTTGGATGGTTGGTCACCTAATGGTACAGAAGACTTAAAATTACAACTGAAGTATGAATACAACTGATAAATACAGTAGGTATTGATATGAATACGTGAACATTTACTTTGATCTGACTAGTAACAAGTTCTTTTTATATCAGGTACAATAGATACCCCGTGCTTCCTTTCTCCGAGGTCTCCTGCTGTGACCCTCCTCTGTCCTTCACAGAGGATAAGGTGGGAAAAAGGCAGGGACCCTACCAGGTCCAAATTACAGGGAATGTGAAGACTCAATGGAGGATTAATATCTTGGATGGTTTGGTCACCTAATAGTACAGAAGACTTAAAATTACAACTGAAGTATGAATACAACTGATAAATACAGTATGTATCTGGGGTCTGTTACAGGAGGTACCCAACCAGGAGCGGACTGACCATTTGGAAACTCTGGCACTGCCCGAGGGCCCAGGGTCAGTAGGGGGCCCCATGAAATGCCCCTGGTACCTTTTTCATAGGCTTTTTTGAATTTGGGCAACGACACAGGGGCCCCATGATCTCCTATTGCCCGGGGGCCCCATGAGTTGTCATCCACCCCTGGTATGTATTGATATGAGCACGTGAACATTTACTCTGATCTGACTAGTAACAAGTTCTTTTTATATCAGGTACAATAGATACTCTGTGCTCCCTTTCTCCGAGGTCTCCTGCTGTAGGAACCATGGAAAATACTCTGAGTATCCATGTATGGGGGAACCTGTGCTGTGACCCTCCTCTGTCCTTCGCAGAGGACACGGTGGAGAAAAAGGCAAGGACCCTACCAGGTCCAAATTACAGGGAACTTGAAGACTCAAAAGGAAAAACTGATTGGTTAAGCCAACAATTGCTTCCCCACCAATATTTAGCATCGGGGACAGACAAGGCATTGTCGACACGATGAGACCAATGCACAAAACGCCCAGGTTCGCTTTTAAAGCCTATCACACGGAGCTTCAAATTAAGATGCGTAGGGGCATTACAGTTTGGAAAAACTGGCTGATCTTAAATTCGATCTGGAATAAAAAATTTGGAATGGTAAACACATTTCAGAAATTTGGATGGAATTATTTTTGAAAGATTCTCCAAATGTTCTGTTGACACCACACCTTGTTATCGGTCATCCTAATTAAATCATAAAGGAATATTCGGATGCTTTGAATACATTTCACTGATATTAAAGAATATTTTGAACTTTGGACAAATTTGTGTCTTATATTTTTTGGTGGAAAAAAATGAATTGGCCTTGGAATGACCTGTTCATTGTACTATGTATATCAGTTTTTTCATAAATGATGAATGAATAAAGACGTGGCTGAAAGTAGACATGAAATGTGTCTTCTTTGTTTGAGAAAGAAATATAATGAAGAAATGTAGATTAACAACACGATGCTCCATGAGGTCGCTGTGCAAAGAATGAACAAGGTGGTCCTGGGATTCTCACACGGATGAATTTGTTTCCTTTCAGAAAAATTCGTTATGTTACTTAGTTTCGTAGACGCGTTTCGGAATTCGTTTAGTTTCCTTTCTGAATTTGTTTTTCGTTTATTCATTTTCGACCGAATTTTTACATTTTTAGAATGATTCCAATTCAAATTGGTTGAAAATTTATCGACCGATCCAAATTTTGTGTGAAGAATGTCTAGTCAGTACTTGGGATGGAAATGCCTTGTTGATGAGAGAGCAAAAGGAGAATAGACAGACTGGTCAGACAAAAAGGCTCGGGAACTCGGATCACTGCTCTTTACAATATAGGTAACCTTGGGCTGGATAGACTACAACAGCAGAAGACCACCCAAGGTTCCTGTAGCCAAGAACAGAAAGCTGTAGCTGCACTTGGGTACAGGATCACCATAACTAGACGGACTAAAAAATTTTACTTGGGCAGATGGAACTCTGTTTCTGCTGATGCAAGCAAATATTAGGTTAGTCACTGAATCTGAATCTAATACAACATTTTTGGGATGTGGTAGAACCCTTTCTTGACGCTGACCCTTCCACCTCAACCAAATGGAGCATAGGTGATAGACTCTGTCAGATCTTTAAAAATCAGCATTCATCTTCCTTCTCTGGTTACCTTTACACTGTACATTCAGAGGATTGCTGGGAAGACCTAACGCCCAGCCATCCTCCTTGTTCTATGGTCAACTTTACTTTGGACTTGCTTGGAGATTCTGGGAAGAGCCAAAACCCAACTATCCCCCTTCATCTATAGTCACCTCAATATTGGATCTGCTTGGAGAGCCTAGGAAGAGCCAACATGCAACCATCCTCCTTCCTATATGGTCACCTCAATATTGGATCTGCTTGGAGTGTCTAGGAAGATCCAACACCCAACCATCCCCCTTCATCTATGGTCACCTCAATATTGGATCTGCTTGGAGAGTCTAGGATGAGCCAACACTCAACCATCCTCCTTCGTCTATGGTCACCTCAAAATTGGATCTGCTTCGAGAGTCTAGGTAGAGCCATCACCCAACCATCCTCCTTCGTCTATGGGCACCTCAATATTGGATCTGCTTCGAGAGTCTAGGTAGAGCCAACACCCAACCATCGTCCTTTGTCTATGGTCACCTCAAAATTGGATCTGCCTCGAGAGTCTACGTAGAGCCAACACCCAACCATCTTCCTTCGTATATGGTCACCTCAATATTGGATCTGCTTTGAGAGTCTAGGAATAGCCAACACACAACCATCCTTATTCTTTTACAGCCACCTCTACTTTAGACTTGCTTCTGGGGTCTGGGAAGACTCAACACCCAATTGCCCTCCTTCTTCTATGGCCATTTTCACTTTGGAAGAGGGGTGACGGGAAGTTCAACAGCTGGCTGTCCTCCTCAGTGGGTCTGCTAAGACATGGTCACTGACCCCTCTCTATTATTTCTTTTGGTTGTATGTGTATCCTGTTCAGAAAGCCATTCTGCACAAACTCAGAAGTTTTATTGTCATCCTGATGATATTCCCTATCTAAGAGACTGGGATAAAGGAGAGCTCTGAAAAAAAAACACAGTCCTTTCTCCAATGTGGTACCAACAGTAATGGGGTTTAAGTACTAAATCAACAGTGAACATTCGCAAAGGAAAGTGGAGAAGGCCTCAATTTGAAAGCCCAAGGTAAATGCTTTGCCTTGTACATGATTGGATTGATAAAATGAAAGCAGCCACACTCCAATGGGATCACTCTGCAGAGTGGCACCATCTATGTAAAAGGTATAGAGGTATGGTGACATTGTATAATATCTTATAACCAACATATTAGAGAATGACCGGTGTCAGAAACAATCTACCTGTTTGTATTTACAATGAGAACAAGCCCACCGTTATGTCACAGGCCGGCCTCAACATTTACTTTAGCCCCAGAATTATATGGAAATGATAATTTCTTTCAATTGGTGTGTTCGTAAAACCAGCTTTTCACTTTGTATTACCAAATTTTTTTGCCCTTCAGTCCTTTTATTGCGCACAATAATGGAACTCCATGGAATTATTATTTTATTCTTCCAAAATAATGAATGGCCAGACCTCATTTCACCCGTCCAGCGTTCCCTCTTCATGCAGAGCTGCAGTTGTCTTAAATGAATACCGGCTGAGAATTATCAGCGGTCTGCTTTCCCGAGGAGGGCCGCAGTCTACAAAACCCAACAGACCGCCACCTCCCCTGACATCATTTTAATTGGATCGTCTAAGTTTTGTGTGTTGGAAATAAACATCATGTTTAGAAATACTAAAAAATTCAGAAATACAAGTTAAAATTACATCATTTTTATGGTTGGCATTGACATATTTTAGTATTTCTGTCTGATGATTAGTGGGTCTTACCAACAGATTGATGGGGATGTTGGATGGTAGAAGTCACAGCAATCATATATGAACAAATGTCACAGCAATCGTATATGAAATAGTCAAGAATCTGTGTACCTCTGACCATCACACCCATATGAGCTTGTTAGACATCCCATTCCAAAATTATGACAATTGTCAGGGAGTTGTCCCCTGTGACAAACACAGTGCTCTCTTCACCAAATTGTGACATCCCCAGCCCTCACTTTTCTGGGAAGACCTTCCACCAGATTTTGAGTGTGTCTGGGGGAATTTGTCCCCATTTGTGAGGTCAGATACTGATGCTGGATAAGAAGACTTGGCTCATTTAGATGGGAAGACTTGGCGCATGATTGGCCTTTCAGCCCATCCCAAAGGTGTTCAGTAAGGTTCAGGTCAGGGCTTGAGGTTAGAGATTTTTGAATGTGCCATTCCAAAACCATGGCCATTAATATATAGTTGCCCTCTCTATGTGAATATAACATCCTTCACTCTTCTAGCAGAGCTTTCCACAAGATTTTGCAGGGTCTGTTTGAAACTTTTGCCCATTTGTGAGGTCAGATACTGATGCTGGATGAGAAGACTTGGCTTATTTGGATGAGAAAACTTGGCGTATAATTGGTCTTTCAGCCCATCCCGAAGGTGTTCAGTAGGTTCAGGTCAGGGCCAGCGGCAGACTGACCATTAGAGCACTCGGGCACTGCCCGAAGGCCCAGGGTCAGTAGAGGGCCCCATGAAATGCCCCTGGTACCTTTTATAGGCTTTTTTGGGTGTGCTTTG